CACCTTCCAACAGGAAATGGCAATTCAGATGCAGATCAGATCCATATACTGCGTGACATCAGGTCCTTCAGCAATGGTGGAGTTACTTCTCCTTAGTTGTTGTTTCTGCTAACAATGGCTAAAATGTGCTTCTCTTTCCCATAAGGCTCTTGAGCTGAATGTGTGCAAACCTCATTAACATAAAATGCAGGCAAGTGTCCTCTATGTGAAATCTCTCACAGTAGGTAATGCAATCAGCTTTCTCTATGCCTATGGGTATACATGTGTGTGCACAGTTCATATAGTGTGTGTGTGTCAGCAGATATAAATTCATAACAGCAAAATCAGTCTCTTTCTCAACATCCTGTATCCTGACTCTGTCTTCTACCATATTTGCTACCCCTCCCAATTTAGTATCATTTGCAAATTTAATAAGCATTCCCTCTGTTCCTTCCTCCAAATCCTTTATAAAGATGTTGACAAAACAGGTCCCAGGACAGATCCCTGAGGCACTCCACTTGTCACTCCTCTCCAAAAGGATGAGGAACCATTAGCAAGCACTCTTTGGGTGCAATCTGTCAGCCAGTTACAGATCTACCTAACAGTAATAGGATCCAAACCCCACCACATTTTACCAACTTTTTAACAAGAATATTATGTGGAACCTTATCAGAAGCCTTACTGAAATCAAGATAAACTATGTCTACAGCATTCCCATGATCCAGCAAGGTAGTAACTTTCTCACAAAAAGAGATAAGGTTAGTCTGACATGACTTGTTCTTGAGAAACCCATGCTGGCTCTTAGTAATTACAGCGGTCCTTTCTAAATGCTCAAGGACATCTTATAGGGTGTTTGTGGAAACGTATGACATGGCAGTGAAGGGTGCTAAGAATTTCGATGCAATGGTCATTGTGTTTGTGAGCTCACATCCAGCCCAATTATTTAGAACTATTCAATCTACTTCACTGCCGTACAGCAGACAAAATAGTAGGGAACTGGACACTGGCTGTGAGGTTTTTGGGAGGTATTTTGCGGATAAAGTCTTGATGTTCCGCCACAATCTTCCCTACTACTATTGATACAATAGTGGAATTGGAAGCTCCTTGGCCATCTTCTCGTCCTGTTTTGGACCACTTCAGCTGCCTCTCACAGGAGAAGGTCAACAAGGTCCTTGCAGCTGTGAAGCCCACCACTTGCCTCTTCGATCTGTGCCTGTCTTGACTGCTTACGGCCTGTGGAGGCATGATGCGGGGGGCCCTGTGTGACATTATTAACATCCCTGATGTCAGGGGTTATCCCAAAGAAGCTGAAGGAGGCAGTGGTGCATCTGCTCTTGAAGAAGCCATCTTTAGACCCGATGGTCTTGGCCAACTGCTGCCCAGTATTTAACCTTCTGTTCCTGGGTAAGGTCGTTGAGAGGGCGGCAGCCAAGCAACTGCAGGTTTTCTTGGATGAAGCTCTGTCCTGGATCCCTTCCAGTCTGGCTTCTGACCTGGCCATGGGACTGAGATGGTGCTGGACACCCTTACAGATGACCTCTGGAGGCAACTGGATCGAGACGGGTCAGCGCAGCTGTTGTTCCTTGATCTGACGGCAACATTTGACACAGCCGACCATGACCTTTTGACACATTGCCTCACCGATGTGGGGATTAGGGAGTCTGCCTTGAAATGGCTTTCCTCCTTTCTTCATGGTTGGGGACAGAAGGTGGTGCTGGGGAAGAATATTTCTCCTCTCCCTGATGCTTTTTAACATCTATATGTGCCTCTTTGTCCAGCTAATCCGGGGGTTTGGGCTAGGGTGTCATCAATATGCAGATGACACCCAGCTCTATCTGTTAATGGATGGCCGGCCAGACTCGACCCCAGATGTTTTGGGCAGGGCCTGGGGGGCTATGGCTGGTTGGTTACAGCAGAGCCGGCTGAAGTTGAATCCAATTAAGACAGAGGTCTTGTACCTGAATAGCAGGTGATTGGGTGTGGAAATATGGCTCCCAGCTCTGGGCAGGGCATTATTGATGCCAGCGCCCAGAACGAAGAGCCTTGGGGTGATACTGGATGCCTCATTATCTATGGAGGCCCAGGTTACCACAGTTGCAAAATTAGCTTTTTTCCACCTGCGGTAGGTGCGGCAGCTGGTTCCATACCTTTCTACCTGCAACTTGGCTACAGTGATCCACATACTGATCACTTCCAGATTGGACTATTATAACTTGCTCTACTTGGGCCTGCCCTTGTATCTGGCTCGGAAACTGTAGCTAGTGCAGAATGCAACAGCGCGTGTGCTGACAGTGACGTCTCCGTGGGTGCACATTCAGCCTGTGCTCCGTGAATGGCACTGGATGCCGATAGTATTCCATTTCAAGATGCTGGTATTAACCTTAAAGCTTCAAGCAGTCAGGAACCAACATACCTACGGAACCGCCTCTCCCCATATGTGCCCTGTCTAGCCTCAACCAGGGCCAGGGCTTTTTCAGCCCTGCCCCAACCTGGTGGAATGAGCTCCCACCAGAAATTAGGGCCCTATGAGACCTTTTATAGTTCCATAGGGATGGAGCTATTCCACCAGGCTTTTGGGTGAGGCAGTGGACATCAAATATCATCTGGCCCCTCCTATTACCATCCAGTTACTGTCTGTGTCATTTATTACAATGTCTTCGATTTTTGAGGATTCTGAATAACAACCCACCTGTGTTTACCCGAAGTTAGGGTATCTGCCATCTGGAATCCCTTATGAAATTTAACCCTTTCTGATTTTAATTGAATTATATTGGGACACCATGGAAATAGTTTGAAATAGTTTAAATACCATAGTTGTAGGAGTTAAGTTTTTTACAGTTTTTATTGTCTGATTTTATCATTCTATAACCAGTGTTGTGACCTGCCCTGAGCCCGTTCGCAGTAAGGGTGGGATAGAAATTGAACCAAATAAATAAATAAATTGTTGTTCAGTCACACAGTCACGTCTGACTCTTCGCGACCCCATGGACCACATCACACCAGGCCCTCCTGTCTTCCACCGTCCTCTGGAGTTTGCTTAATTTCATGTTCGTTGCATCTATGACACTGTCTAACCATCTCATCCTTTGCCGTCGCCGTCTTCTTTGACCTTCAATCTTTCCCAGCATCAGGGTCTTCTCCAGTGAGTGCTCCCTTCTCATTTGATGGCCAAAGTATTTGAGCTTCAGCTTCAGTATCTGGCCTTCCAGAGAACAGTCAGGGTTGATTTCTTTTAGGATTGACTGATTTGATTTCCTTGCAGTCCAGGGGACTCTCAAGAGTCTTCTCCAGCACCATAATTCGAAAGCATCTATTCTTTGGCGCTTGGCCTTCCTTATGGTCTAACTCTCGCAGCCATACATGACTACTGGGAATACCATTGCTTTGACCATGCAGACTTTTGTTGGCAAGGTGATGTCTCTACTTTTTATTATGCTGTCTAAGTTTACCATAGCTTTCCTCCCATAGAGCAGGCATCTTTTAATTTCATAGCTGCAGTCACTGTCTGCAGTGATCTTGGATCCCAGGAACGTGAATTTTGTCACTGCTGTCACTGCTTTCACAAACACGACATTGTGGAGCATAGATTAATTCAGTCCATACAGTCATCTCAATTGATCCTCTTCCTTCTCTATTGATTCTTCTTTCATAAACAGCTTTAATGAAACAGGCTCTGTCCAGTTAGTATCGCTTTCCTCCAGGACTTTCACTCACTTGTGGGTTCATCCACATTCTGGTTAGAGAGACCAGCCGTTCACTTTGCATGTAGATTTTATAGTACAAGAGTAATCCACCCTTTGTTATCGCTTTTTGATCTGCTTGCCACCATCCAATATAAGCTAGACACGGTCTCAGTTTCGTCTGTAATCCAAAATTCACTACTTCTTATAAACACTGTCCCTTTAAAAGTATTGCCACGTTTAGAGCCGTTCCATTCAAATATCCCACTTTAGCCGGCAGATGGCACCCGATTCTATGCTGTAGGAAGAGTCTATGGTTAGGTCACCTGACCTAGCCCTCCATTTTTCTTCTTCCTGAGAGAAGCTTGCGTCCCACCTCCCTCAATGCCTCCGATCGCCATCTTGGAGGGTTGTTTACATTTACCGATTAAAGCTGCCAAAGTCTCAAAGGTCTGTAAATGCTTTTATTGGAAAATTTATCTGATCTAGTCCTTCTACTGTAATCCATTGCCACTGTTAGCTCAGTCCCCCATCGTCCCGCTTCGTTCAATTGCGTCCCCTCCCCCTTCCCGCTTTAATTTGTGGGGGCTTCGCAACAGGGCTCCGATGTCTCACTTTAACTTAAACTCACTCATCCATCTTCAAAAACGATCCAACAGGTCTCCCTGGGATCTCACTAGGCAGAGTAAAATCACCAAACCTTCATACGCTTGTCCCGGTGGTCGCTTCGAATCCAATACTGGGAATCAGGGCAGGACCTTCGGGGCAGAGAGTAGCCCCCCTTTGCTGGCTGTCGGCCGAAGGTAGGGCTCTCCAAAGCCCCCTGGCTAGGAGCCCATTGCCTATGGACTCCATGGGGGAGCGCGCACAATCGCGCTCCCTCCTAATCCCCAATTCGTGGCACACGTCTCTCAGAGGAACAGGCCATCGTTGAAGCGCCGAAAACCGAAAGTCGGTTTCTCCAATTTTCTTGAAGAGATCTCTAGTCCTTCGCATTCTATTGTTTTCCTCTATTACTTTACATTGTTCATTCAAAAAGGCTTCCTTATCTCTCCTTATTGTTCTCTGGAAATTAGTTGGGTATAAATGCTGCATGTCTATCTTGTTCACCACATAGGACATGAGTCATGTTAGCTGGAAAACAAATTGGACAAGAGTAGCCAAAATTATTTCCTGAAAAGGATCACCCCAGATTGAATGTTTGCCTCTTTCATATTTGTACCAAGCAAGACAGCTCTAGCACCTGCATGCCACTAAATAAAAGGACACAACACAGGTGATGCTTACACAAAAGTGCAGAGCTGGATTGTTTCCATAGTGTTCATGCATAATAACGTGCATCACTCTCCATTTCTTGGATAGGACAGTTTTATGTATTATATAAAAATGTATATATAAAGCTGAGTTACTGTGTTCCTTTCTTCTCACACAGCCTTCCTGCCTAAACAATCAACTGGTATATGTGGACTGCAAGAAAGGAACTATGGTTCAGGTAGACAGTTCTCAGAGGATGCTAAGAATTGCTGACCCAGATTCAAGATACAGTGGATTCTACAGCATGCAAAAACAGAACAACTTACAGGCAGATAATTTCTATCAAACAGTGTGAGAAGCTGCATCCTTACCAAGAAGTTAAGAAGAAACAAAGACTGAGTCTGCTATTAAAATTAGAATTGTGCACTTGCTTAGTGGATTGTATTGGATTTGTGACTTCATGTACAACTCTAAGACCTTACTGGGATGGGCTCTGACTCCTGCAATGTGCCAGAACAAGCATTCCCTCTTCTTGCGATAACTGACCAAGTGTTTTCTTAGAACCAAAGTTATAAAACATTAAGATGTTTTGCTTGCAACATAGTATTAGAGGTTGTTTGGAAAGAGGAAATTGAAATTGTGCTTGAGTGGTTATAACAGGAAGTCTCAAAGAGAAGAAGCTGGTCAGCTTAGCTTGGAGTCAAAGCAAATAAGAATATAGCTTTTTCCTGTCACTTCAAAATTGCATTTATTGCAATGAAGTTATAAGCATAACCCTACCTGAACTCAAATAACAAAGTATAGGGTTTTTTAGGCTGTGCTACAAAAATATACTCCTAGGAGAGTACCTGTCATGTCACAGGTGTGGGGTAGCTGCAACTATTGTTTTTCTACCTGATCATAAACTGCAATAGCTAATGACATAGCGAGGAAAACATTATAGCAGAAATACAAAGGGTGAGTTTATTGAATATGTGTACAGTTATACCTTGTGCTGCTTTTTGTTTTTCCTTGCGATGCTGATTGTCCAGATTTTGGCAGTTAGCAAATGGCTAAGGCCTGTATAATTCCTGATATGAGCACTGGATCTTTCGACAACAGTATTGAAGAGGGAGAGAAAGGAAGAAAAAGTTAAAAACACCATCTGATTCCAGAACTTGTGATGTGTGTGTGTTTTCTTTTTTTTTTCATTGTGTATCAATTTCAGGTGGTCCAAATATTTTCATTTGAGGGAAAGAAAAAAAATGATGTTGGATGAAGATCTTGCTCAATTAGTTTTTTTAATCATTGTAAGGGTTTCTTTTTGTTATTTACTGATTATGCAGACTAGAAACAACTTCCATGCTAGGAAGCTGCTTAATTTTAATTGTATATTACTCAAGCACCTTTTGGGAAGCTCAGAAAGAAAGAAGATCATGCTTCTTTAAAACTTCAGCTTTATAGAAATATTTATGTAAATATAGTTAAGCTAAAACATAGCATTTGTATGTCTGTGTGTGTATATATGTGTATATATATGTACATATGCATGTGTATATGTATATATACGTGTGTGTGTATATATATACATATACACATATATACACACTATATGTATATATATGTATATATACAGTATATATATGGTATTTATATATACAGTATATATCAGTATAATTTTGTATTTTTCCCTGTTGAATGTATTTTTACCTGAGATTTTACCCAGAGCAGAAATGAACAGGCATTCCATATTATTGCTTAATCATTTGTGAAATTAGGAAAGCCGAGAGCATCTCATTCTACCTACAGTTTTAATTGATTTGAAAGTGTGAATATGTGTGTGTGCGTGCACTCATGCCCTTGTGTTTGCATATATGTGTACAGTAAGTGCACAGTTTTAGCAGTAAGCATTTCTCTTGCTACTTGCTATATTTCAGGGTGTTTTGTTTTCTTTTTCTTTTTCTGCATGGCCTTAAAAAGGTCGTAATTCAATGCATTGGCTAGATACACTGATAACATACAGGCAGCACTAATCAGTTCCACAGAATAGCACCATTCACACTTTGTTATATTTGAACATAGTTGTTTGAAACAACTACTGGAATACAGTCCACAACTAGCTGGAAGCTTGTTTCAGTTTGAGTCATAACTTTAAGTTGTATCATACAACATTTCACTTCTCAAAATAGGTCTTGGCACTTTTATACTAACTGCCCACTTGTGCGTTGCCTCTTTCTTTTACAATTGCTTGTCCTAAGACACAGATACCCAGTATGCTTAATGTGAAAAGAAAATGTATTTTTTGTAAAGGAACTCTCAAGTATTGTTGTAAATACTTGGTCAGAGGTTACTGAACTTTAAAAATGAAAAACCTAATTTATTATATGACCTAATTTATTAATCTGAAGATTAACAAATGTTTTGTTTTAGAATATCAAAAAGTGTTCTAGCTGTTTGCATCAAAGAGAAAAATAGGTGTATCATAAAGGCTCAACATTTTTCTGTTATGAATTCAGTTTCCAAAAAAGAAAAAATATAGTCCCCCAACCATTTTATATTCAGTATGTCAATGCTGAAATAAATGTTACTATCCAATTACTATCCAGATTCTGTCAAGACAAATCATCCATTCCTTTCATAAGAATAAGCAGTCTTTCTCCAGAAATTGTAAATGCTTGCTTTTGTTTTACAATCAAGGCCTTATTCTGAAAAATATTAGCAAGACATGGTGTAAAATGTTTTTATTATTTTATTATTATTATTTTGAAGATATTATTTATCCTATGTGCTGTATCCATTACACTCTTTTACTTTGGTTCCTGTTGTGCTCTTGTAAGAGAAATGCAGATATAATTTTCTGAAAAATAAAATAGATGCATATGTGGCACTTGGAGTGCACTGCAATTTGGCAGATTGCTTGTTTACTTTTCAAAATGTAAGATGGTTTCTTGTAATTTGGCTCTTGGCAGCACAATAAAAATTACCATGATGAACTTTCTATAGTCTACAAATTGATTTTTTCTGTAAAATGTTGAGATGTTTATTGCTTTATGGGGGTCAGGAGAAGTAAGGTGTATATTACTTTAGTCCCATTCTTATCCTAATGTACTGAAAAATTGCTAACACAACTATGAACATGACTTTGGTAAGGCATGGCAATACAGCACTATAACATTATCTTCAGATGTTCTGGCTTAAGGGCATTCATTAGTTAAGTGTCTTAGCTGAGTACTTGTCACATGACTTTATTCAAAGTCATTTGTAGCATATTGGAGAACTGAACCACTAATGCTCCATCAACTATTTCAATATTCATATTCTTAACATAAACCTTAGGACTCATAGATGCAACTTGTAACTCTATTGGTATGCCACTAACATTAACGTATACCCCAAATGTTTATGATCAGTTACCACAGCAATTCTTAAGAGATGTTAAGAGCACTTCTGGGACAAAGAAGCATTCTGAAAACAGTAATAACAGGAAGATAATTGCAGTGGTTAAAAGAAAATAGTTTTATGTGACAACTGCGCTTGATAGCCACTGTTGTCACTGTACACACTGTCGGCTCCTGATTGTAATTATTGCAACATTTGGAAGCAAAGGCAACTTCAGCTTCTGACAGTTCTGTGCCTAGTTACAATTAATGCTTAAATTTTTAGCAGAAGTACTGGCAAGGTCCAAACACCACATCTATTCACATGGAATTAGGGTGAACATAAAGAGTTATAGAAAACAACAGATTCATGTTCTGTGGTTGGTCGAGGGAGGTTTTAGTACAAGAACTTCTGATTGGGGAAATTTGATTGGTGGCAACTGAGACAAGGGCTTTCTCAGCTGTTTACTGTATGGAGATCTGTTATAATGGACTGTAAATGGTTAATGAGGGGGTGTCAAACATAAGGCCCGGGGGCCAGATCCAGCCCGTCCAAGGCTCTTATGTGGCCCATGAGCAACTGATGCCAGGGTGGGAGTACTGGGGGGAGTGGGCGAAGCCACTCCATTGTGGCTTCAGCATGGCAGAACAACCTAGTCTGCACAGTCAAGCATCATGGGAACATCTGACCATTGCTGCACTGCTGGCTCTGCAGTCTGCCTGTGTGGGTTTTCCTCTGCACCCCCCTCCCAGCCCAATGGGGCCGTGCAGTGAGGATACACCAACTCGGAGCTTACCAGCTGCTGTCCTTTATATACAGTTTCTATCTCTGGTACCTGGCAATATGTTTTAAGGCAGTGGTTCTCAACCTGGGGGTATATGGCCCCCCAGGGGCCCCAGGATATTCCAAGGGGGCCACAAGTAAAAATTGCATAAATGGGGGGGGGCCATATGGCAGCAGTTAGTGATGAATTGAACGATGATGAAATAATTGTGTATGTGAATCATTTGAAGGAGCTTTATAATGATATGGAAGTTTGTTTCCGTGATCTGCTGGACATGGATATTCCAGCCTGGGATGTTGATCCATTTGCTGTGAATGCTGCTGACGTTGATGTTTCTTTGCGAGAAGCACTCATAGAGCTACAGAATGACATGGCAGCCAAATTAACTTTCAATCAAGAAAAACACAATTTTTGGATAAAGAGTACAATATCTAAAAAGTTTCCACAGCTTTGGGATAAAGCATTTCCAACTTTGTACTTGGTAGAATCAGGTTTCAGTTGTGTGAATTTATTTACTCAGCCTAACACGGAATTGCCTTAACATAATGGACAGAGGTGATGTTCGTTTATCCCTCACAGCAATAGAACCGGATATAAAAATGCTTGCTTCTTGCTCATCAAGCACAAGGGTCACATTGATCGAGAAATACGTAATTGTATTTTGTAAAATTATAAATAAAACATGTTCTATTTATAAACAAATGCTAGCCTGCAAGCAAGAGACCAGAACAAAGATTGGTACTGCTTTATATGTAATCTTTTTCTTGAATGTAATACTGGAGTTTTGACAAAACTCCTTGTAGTGCTGCAGTTTTCTCTTGGGCTGATTTATTGCCCTGTGATGTGATCACATTGGTCTTGGGCTGATACCTTGGAAAGGAGTGACAAGCAAAAGTGGTTTTGAAGCGGTGACCACGTGCTGACTCTGCATGTAAACACAGGTTTCATTTTGGAATACAATTTGTACCTTCAGAGGACTGAAAACCTAACACATGACTTTCTTCATTGCACTTCTACACATCTTTTGCAACTCTGGATTTTTGCATCGCTGTAATCTTGTGCAACGGTGGTAGAGACTTTGTTCTCCCTTGTATGTGAACATTGTTGTTTATTAGCCCTGTTGTATTCCCTTTGTGTGGGGCATTTTTTTGTAAATTTCGGTTTCCCAATAAGAACTGCATGTGTGCATGTGGTGTGGCTGTTTATGCTT